GCAGGGTTCCCCTTAGTAAGCCTGTAATAACCGGCCTGGCACGTGTCACATTGTCGGCCTTGTACAAACGCCTTACAGTAACAGTCCCCTGGTTGCTAGGAGATAAATAATAACGATACTTAATGTATTTTAGTGTCAAAATATCGAGTTAGAAGTCTCTGGGATCTCACTAGAACTAACACTATCTCGTAATACAAGTAAAAAGAGTAGAAGTGCAAAAAAAACAAAAAAAAAACAAAAAAAAATCACCCCTGAGTTAGAAACTACATACTCGATGTAATAATGCGTATTTAGTTTTACAAATCTTTGTGAGAGGTCAGGGGTCTGACACAGGACAGAATTCCACCTGTTCTGACAAGATTCCGGAAATTAAGAAATCATTTAAGCACCCAGAAAGTGAAAGATCGAGAAAAAAGAGCAATGTCAGTGATTTTTTAGAAGGGGAAGAAGTTTGTTTGGGGCAAATATACCGTTGCCATTGGAAAACCACCACTGTCAAAAATTATTAGGTAGTTCAGTCTCTAAGAACAATCTTCCCAGACATTCAGCATGATCGAAAATAGTGTTTTGTTTTCTAGTGAAATGCAATGTTCCTGTAATAAGGGTTCCTTAACTCCGTTTAAGCCTTTTAGAAGGTGATACCTAGAATAGTCATTAAGCACTTAATGACTGGCCCCAAGGGAAACAGTGAGTTTTGTTTCGCCGAGACCCTCAATGTAAAGGTCTCGGGGAAACAAAACTCACTGTTTCCCTTGGGGCCAGTCATTAAGTGTTTTGTTATACCTCCCAACTCAAAAATAGAAAAAAAAACCTGCGAAAAATCGTTTGCTTGACGCCGGCTGACACACAAATTGGCCGCGGTTTCAAAGAGCACGACCTGATCACGTGCGAGTCGAAAGTTCAAGTTGTTGCTTCCCTAGGGAGTTAGTGAGTTTTGTTCGCCCTAGGGAGTTAGTGAGTTTTGACCAACGYCACGTGACACGTTCTCCTCCAATCGGAAAACGRATTTGAGTTGGGAGGTATAACAAAAATCYTTATATAATAATCCTGTATAGTTTGCTACGCTTAGTAACCTTACCTTCCCGGGATGAATAGACAATTCATTTTCATCTCTTACGCAGTCACCAAACGATATGTTCGAGACGTGTGCTGTTCCATTTGTGTTACAGTTGCAGGCTAACGGATGAAAAGGGTAAAGTAGTATAGCAGTTCGGTCTTGATAAGTGGGAAACAAATTACTGAGCAGTTAGAGTGGCAATAGAATGGGATTAAGTTCCCCCCTGTCACTATCCTGCCATCTTTGCGTTTTTGTATATGTGGCAAAGTATTATTAAACTATAAAAGTTACCACGTAACGTACTTGCGCGTTTTTTTCTTCGGAGTTAAAAATAAAGATTAAAAAAGTACACGAGTTTTTAAGGACAAATAGAGGAAATATGCTTCTAGAGATGGAGTTAGCGAGTTGACAGTATAAATGTAGAATAATGTCAAAAAAAAGTTGAATGATACAAACCGAATCATAATTTGTAAGGTTGTGTACATATGCACCAGTTAGGCATGTCAACCCTGATTCAAAGGCATTTGAAATTTCAGACCTTCCAGCTCTCACGATTTCGGGACTCATCTCACGGTCTCACGATTTAACCTCGAAATCTCACGGTTTTTCACGAATTACAACCTCAATTTTCATGAATTACAAACTCAATCAAATCCGGTCCAAAATCAACCCGATTTAAAGTAATAGTTGCGAATACAAATAAACTCGATTAAAAAGGATTCAATATTGTAATGTTTACGTTTCTTCTCACTGGGGAATCTGGACCGAGCTATTTTTAAACCTCGTTCTAATGTCCAATCACAGCGCGAAGTCCCCTGGGAAAGGCTTTGTTTCATGTGTTCAAGATGGCGGAACGACTCTCCTGTCGGTGTTTCAAGTCTTACTTAAGGTGTTAATTAATGCTAAAAAGGCACTAATTATGGCATTTTGAACACTGCTAGGTATTGTTAGCGTTGAGCTTCCTTTGTTTGAAAGCAATTTTGTAATTCTCACTATTTGGAACCCAAATCTCACTACTTTTTGGGGTAAATTTTTGAGACCTCAAGATTTGGGAGTTTTAGATGTTAGAAGGTCTGTGAAATCGCGGGAGGACTGATGTTGATTGACATCCGTGTGGAGGCCATAATGTGATAGTAGTCGACGTTGTCAGAAGTTGGTGCAAACAAAAGACAAAATGCATGTCCGACATCTTTGGCTACTTTCAAAAGCTGTGCAAAGAGCATTTCATTACTCTCCTACCTTTGCAAGCGTCAGGATCTGATTGATTCTTGCCCACCGGTCTGT